AACTGAGGGAGCCCAGAAATCTGGACACCAAGATCTAGCCTCTGAAACGGACCTATTTTCTCTGTGTGGCACTCCTCCAGATACCTGTTCCTGCCAAAATTTCACTTATAACAAATAGCTGTCATTAAATCAAAGCCAGCGCTAACATTTTAACAGTAATGGTTGTTAATCTTTTAGAATCTGTTAGCGACATAATAATGAAAAGGAATGCGTGCTGGATTGTGGTGATGTTTGACGCTGAAACTAGGTCAGGAATCTTTAAAACACTTACACAGGCAACAGATTTTCTTGTTTTTTTATTACCTCTTATTTGGCAGCCTACATAATACTAGAAGTATACAAAATGTTATATAGGCAGTAAGAGGTATGTGTACTCAGGAGTTATTAAGTATCAGCAAGTATTATTCATCAGCACAGAGTTGATTTGGCTTCAGTTTCTTCAAGGTAGTCCGATCGTTCAGTTTTAAATATTTACGTACCTCTCTGCCTGCCTCCATCTTGAAATTAATTCCCTGCTCTCAAAATAAAAGATGGCCAAAAATTATGTGCCTTGATGTTGGTGGGCTACCCACACCCTCCAAGGTTAGTGATATCAGCTACCCAGTTATTTCATGACCATGAAAATCTGAGCTGGGATGTATCCCTGGAGTGCCAATTCCCACAATGCACTTCTCTGTGCAATTGGAATGGTCAGGACAAAGGTTGTTCATCAGTGTGAACACTGAAGACACACGGGACAACGAAACCTAGCCAAAAACCCAGTCAGGAGGCTCAGAATAACTGTGAGAAGCCAAGAATGAAATCTTTATCCAGCCAAAGCAAATGAAAACACCAATTCAAAAGCAAATTAATGAGTTGTCCAAGCAACAAGGAAACAGATTTTTTTTAAAAAAGTTCTTATACTCTGAAATTTCATAATCCTTCCCTTGTTAGTAACCTGTCTGTGCGAGATTAGCCCTTTTATTAGTTGCATGTTAGTACATTATTATCTAAAATGATGGTGGGGAAATGGCTTAAGCTGTTCATTCTATGGCATTAGTAGTTACCATTTAAAATGGATACTTAAGGCCAGTGGGTTGTTGTTTTTTTAGAAAAAGAGGTGCCAGAACTCCCCATGAATGCCTCCCTTGTTCTCTTATAATGGCAATGGTGCCCACCTAAGAGGTGCTGGAACTGAGTTCCTGTGGGTTCCAGCTGGAACCCCCCCCCCCCGCGCTTAGAGCCATAAGTGAGAATAACAATCAAATGGTAACGCCTCTGTTGTTGTATACCGAGGGTTTTATCAATTTACTAATCTCAATCAACCTTAAGCTTTACTATAGAGCATATGATACAGATACCACAATATTTCCATTGAATTATTTCAAAAAGGTAAGTTGCAGTATGTATGTATGTATGTATGTATGTATGTATGTATACTGCCCTTCATCCAATGATCACAGGATGGTTCACATTAGAAGATTGATAGAAATCACAGTTTCTGGATGAAAATGGTGGGCTGGATTCATTTGTCATCTGTAACGAGCACATGCTTTTATTGACTCTTCAGGGCAAGGATATGCACTTTGTTCAGTATCTTGTTAACTTGCTATTGGAAGTTTATACTGAAACAGGAGGAGGCATAGTTAGATTAATCTTTAATATAATAATCTACATTTGTGGAGATGTGTTTTCGTCTGGATTTTAGCTTATCGTTGATTTTTTTTTTAATGTTTCCATTAACTCCCCCACCAACATCTTATTGTTTCATTGTTTCGGTAAACCGCTTTGAGGTGCTATTACAAACTTGTGAAATAAATAAATACCTATGTAGCACACAAGATCTCAAAACCAAAACAATATAACACTTAAAACCAAAGCCGCCGCCCCCCCCCAAGCGCCACTATATATCAACCTCACAGTGTTATTGTGACAATGCAATATACAAGTAAAGAGGAACATGCCCTGGTTAGCAAAAGTGAATAGTAAATTAACAAAGAATAGGGATAATTTTGTATTCTGCAAATATTTGAGACTCATTTGTATATTTGATTTTATGATTATGATGTATACTGCTCTGGGTACTTTTTAGCACAATACAGTGGTACCTCGGGTTAAGAACTTAATTTGTTCTTAACCTGAAACTGTTCTTAACCTGAGGTACCACTTTAGCTAATGGGGCTTCCTGCTGCCGCTGCAGCGCAATTTCTTTTCTCACCATGAAGCAAAGTTCTTAACCCAAGGTAATATTTCTGGGTTAGCGGAGTCCGTAACCTGAAGCATCTGTAACCTGAAGTGTCTGTAATCTGAGCTACCACTGTAGTGGTATATAAATATATTATTGTGGCTACTGTATAACTATTGCCTGTGCTCTGCTCATATGAACCTCTTCCAAGAAGCTGTCTTACCTGGCCCTTTCAGGTTACCTGCAGCTGTGTGGATGCTGTTGTCTGGGGATGCATATGGTCCTTGAACTGGGCCTCAGAGATGGTCAAGAGAACAGATCTAACAGGAGTTCTTGAGGTATGAACTAGATTGGCTAAGGGTAGACTGTTATCTTTCTGCTTCTAATAAAACCCACTTTACTTGGAAGACAGGCATTAAAGGGGAAACATGAGTGAGGCAACATAAGTTGGCCGACCTAATTTTTGAGACTTCAACTTCTGCTACTTTGAGTTTAGAAGTAAAATAATGGGAAAAGCAGTTTGCATAATTGCACTCCCCCCGCCTTTAACCTAATGTGTTTATCAGAAGCCAGCAGTCCCAGTGAGTATACGCTTACTTTTCAAGCTTTGCATTTCAAACAAAACGGGTACAGTATGGAATATATCAAATGGAATATGTGGCACGCTTGCAAGGTGTTCCTCAGTTATTAGCTGTACCTAGGAATAAAACTGATTGATGTGCAGGGTTTGTCTTTGGTAGGAAACGCTTGGAATATAAATGTCCTAAGATATGTTTTTAAAGGAAATAAATACAGCATTATCTGTCACAGGAATGGAAATTATACAGTGAGGTAAATATAAATTGCATATTTGCATACAAATATTACTGAAATACAAAAAGAAGATGTAAAAGTGCACTTTCGGTTAACCTTCGACCTACTGCAGTTTGTTATTCAACATATATATTATGGCAGGTTTTCATCCAGATATATAAGGCAACGAAAATGTACCACATTTTTCTTTTCTGCAAAATAACAACAACAAAAACAGACGCTACATCACTCTAGGGATGCAATGTTACTGTAATGATGGTATTTCTGTGTTTTGGTCCACAAATGCTATGTTTGAAATTAAATTATGAAATTAATTACGCAATTAATAACTGTAATGGCATGCAATGGCCTTGAATCCACACAGTGAAACACCCACTGATGCCATTTCAATAACATATGAGTTGGGCCTGAGCAACACTTCGAGTTGGCTGAACTGCATAGTTAAGAGAAAACACAGTTAAAATGCAAAGGGTTATATTTGAAATAACAAATATTTCCAGTGTTTCCCCGGAGCTTTATAATTTGCCTGGAGCTTTTTAAATTTTGTGTGTGGAACTTCCACACTTGTGCTACAGATCCATATAAGTTTTCTAAATTCATAATGGAGCTGCTCTTAAAAATGGGCCTAGACTTGTGATGCAGCCAGAAAATGGCCACTAGCAGGCTGTGCCACAATTTTTCTCATTTCCATTCTGCTTTGGTCCCAGGAGAGAAATTAAACTAGTCCTTGAAATGCACAACAAAGCTATAAAGCAACAGCAACATTTCCCATAAGCTCTCTTCATTGCATTACCAGATTTCTTATTCATGAAGTTTGCCCTAATTGCATTAGTATGAAAGTATATTATTTTTATTGATGATAATAGTATATGAAAAGTAATTATATTAGTGATTTCACTGTATTAGCAAAATAATGTTAATCTGTGTTATAGGCAAAATGTTGCTTTGGAGAGAGAGCAAGGAAAGCAGCTTTAGTGTGGCACACTACAGAGGTTCCAGGCCCTTACCCAGGGTTTGTGTTTCCTTTAGGAAATGAAGAACACTAGCTATTGTGGTGTCCTTATGATATATGGTTTATGTATGCATATGCACCACCTGAGCCTGCAGTGGAAGGGTTCAAAGCATAACCCCCTCCCCGCAAAGGGTATTGTTTCTCCCATAGCCAAGGCCTTGGATTCAAACTGTTATGTACTGAAGTTCTCACCCTGAGCCAGCAGGGGGATACTGTAGATAGTTATGCAAATAAGGGATCGAAAGTGACGTTCAGTGATTGGATATTTTTAGAAAATTGTTACAGTTACGTTGTACTGGCGCTCTATATAAGCAGGCTGACTGAACCTTTCAGTTCAGTTCTGTTCTGACCTGTGAATAAACAAGAGCTGTTTGAAGAATCGCTGTGTCGTCTGATATGTTCACCCACAACTTAACACAAACAGAAATTAATAATTGCCTTGTATCTCTCACTCCCCAGCTTGCTGCTTTGCTTCTGGTCCACATAACTGCAACTCAGCTCTAACTCTGGTTTTATTCTTCTAACAACCACCCATTCACCTTCTCACAAAAAGCCCCTTTCCCTTTTAATGGCCCATCGCCCAGGCAATTGCCCCAACACAGGAAGCTAGCCTGGTTTATATTTTATCACTTACTGGATCCAGGAGTTAGCAGGGTCCTGCATACAGCCCCCCCCCTCACAGCAGTATTTTTTATTGATAACAGTATATGAAAAGTAGTGATTTCACTGTATTAGCAATATAATGTCCATCTGTTAAAGTTACTTTTGAGAGAGAGCAAAAGGAAGGAAAGCAGCCTTGAGATCAAGCTTCCCTGTACTTTCCCCGTTCCCTTCCCCTGTCATGTGACAAAGACACATGAGAGCAGAAGCAGCAAAGCAGGCTGGGATGTGCTGGGACTGCGTATTCATTTGGGCCTACTAAAGTTATTCAGGCCTAACTGCTAACTGTTGAGTCACTCTGACATGTGACTTAGCAGCCATTTTCTCTCTGTTCTCTGTACGATTTCAGTCAGAGTCAGTCTGCCTCAGTTGTGAGCAGTATGTAATCTCAGTCAAACTGTTTGGAACCATAAAGATGTTTATTTTAACTCAGTAAAGCTTTTATTCTTTCCCTTAAAAACTCTGCATTATTAATTTACGCTGCGCGTCATCCCTGCTGTCACAACTTACATTGCAAGCTGCTTGAGGACAAGGGACTGCCTCCTTTTGCTTATGAAACTCTTGTAAAGTGCCAATTGTGTTGGTAGCACTGAATAAACAATAAACATTAATGGACCCAATCCATTCAAATCTGTTAAAATCTTGACATAAAAGTTTACAGGTTGCCAACTGAGCGCCACAAGATAATATTGTTTTTGTTACCTTCTGCTGAAGAGAGGCTGCCAACATTTTAATATCTATTTTTAACCTCAGAATTGTAACTGCTCACGTACCATATTATTCTATATACTAGAACACATACTTATTCATATATTTCAGGGATGGGGAACCAGTGCCCTCCAATCAACCCCCATGGCCAATGGTCAAGGATGATGGGAGCTGTGGAGCCCCAATATATTTGAACAACACTTTCAAAATCTGAACAACACTTTCAAAATTTCAGTCAGAGGATTTTACTCATTTCAGCTCAAAGATATTCTAGAAAAGCATAATGGGCCAGATTCAGCTATGCTGTTATGCTAGTGGAAGCCAGTGCAATGAGTCCTCCTAGTGCAAAAGGACTTCCTCCCTTCTCCACCCCCCACGCCCTCCTTATCCTCCCCAAATCTGCTCAGAATGATTGGGATGAACCCCAGAACGGGGGGCGGGGGGGGGCATGGAGGAAAACAAGAGAAACTGTTCATATTTTGCATATTCAGCAAGCAGAAATGTTTTCGCTGATATAACAATTGTCTTAGCACAACATTGAATCCCACCATTGTGGTCCTGTAATCTGTTATCAGCTGTTCAGAACAGACTGCATTATGAACATGTGAAAATGTGCATTATATGGGGGCCTTCCTGTTCCCCTGTGTATATTTAGGAGTGTGTGCATGAAGAAAAATATTCATCCATCCCCTACTCAGAGAATTGACTTGGGAAATAGCCGGACTCTGAGGAAAGCCAATGCCAGAAAGCCATACTAACAAAATTGCAACAAACCGGCAAAATTTCTTACCAACAAGAGAAACTGGAAAATGGAAACTATCCCTGAAGAGGGAGGATTGGAGCATAGGGCATAGCTGTCAACTTACAGATTTGAAAATAAGGGACCAGCAGCCTTGAAAATAAGGGACCAGCAGCCAAAATAAGGGACCTGCAGCCTCACCTGTTCCAGGCACTCCAGTCTTCCTGTCCTCCTGCAGTCTGGTCAAACTCATGTTGGTAGCTTCGAGAACACTGTTGAGCCAACTTTGTAACCAGAGGTTCAATTGAATAGAATCTGAATCACATGCACCACAAGGCCTATGCAGCCTCAACTTAAGATGGCTCCCTGGCCTAGCTTTGCACTGCAAAGTTTGCAGCAGCACGTGCAACAAAATGGCGTCCAGCATTCAAAAACCCCCTCAGCTTGCATTAACTAGCCACACACAAGGCATGCAAGCTCCACCCCCCAGTCGTTCTTAGACTTCTTATTGGGTGAGCAACACAGCCAAGCAACACAGTTGGAGCCTCCCTCCTCCCTGGCCAGCAGGGAGGGAGGGAGAGGAGCTGCTTCCTTTGAAATTTAAGGGACATCATTTAAGGGACATCATTTAAGGGACATTTAAGGGACATCTATCAATAAGGGACAGCAGCGGGACATGGCGCTGGAATAAGGGACTGTCCCTTCAAATAAGGGACACTTGACAGCTATGGCATAGGGTATCCATAATTTCTTTGTGTTAAGAATCAGATTTCAGGCATTTATTATAATGAGTCTTTTAGCATTCCTTCAGAACCCTTCAGAAATTAGGTTGAAGCAGATTTATTATGTGGGACTGAAGCCAGATAGAAAGCCTAGTCCAAATTAAAATCAATAATAAAGTAGTTCGAAAGTGCTTTTGGATACTCACTTTTCTATTCATACTTTTGGGGCAAAACGAGGCTTTCCTTCCCTGATTTTGGAGCGAAGCGCCCTTTTTAAGGAAGCATCAGAGCGCAAAGTCACCACCTCATTGCAATATGTTATTGTGTTTTAAATTATACTTTTTTTAATGAGTGCTTGCTTCACTTACCTCATTTTCATATCTGCATTAGCACAGCACTAGCAAAATACAATTCCCCATGAAATATGTTTTTCAAGAATCTATTTAGATAGAAACAAGCATGATGGAACAATGTTCTTCATACATATTCCTAATCAAAATGAACTTTAATTAGACTAAGTCTGTAACAACTGTGCCGGGAGCAAGCATCACTACCTTTCAGAAACAATTTCCAATGAACCTTGCTAGGTGTTGCCTTGACAGTAGGACTTAGGAGCCACTGCAGTAATAATGTAGTATTATTTATAAAATAATAAGTAGAAAAAATAAAGGGTAATTCAGTTGCATTCACAAGAGCCACCATTTCATAAGTGGGGCAATAATAATAATAATAATACCCTGCCCATCTGACTGGGTTGCCCCAGCCACTCTGGGTGGCTTCCAATGCATATAAAAACATAATAAAAATTACATATTAAGAAGCTTTCCTATTCAGGGCTGCCTTCAGATGACATCTAAAGGTTATATAGTTACTCGTCTCCTTCACATCTGTAGACAGCAGACAGCTGTAGAGAATGACAAGCTGTAGATATCTACCAGTGAAACATTTTCCTATCCCACTCATTTCAAGCTACCTAGAAGGAAAGAAAGATGATCCGGCAACATTACTGAAACCTTGTTGTACAATATAAATGTGAATTATGAACTAACACAATACTCCAATTCTATTTACATTCCAGGCTTGTTAATCTCCCTCGGCTGGATTCTTCCTCTTGTTTCACTTCTTCTTAGGCTTCAGCATAGTTGATCTATCGAACTGAACAAATGCATTAGGTGATCAGAGAGATCGTGGGAGGTGGGCTGCGGTTAGCTTCTGCACGGCAGCAAGCCCAGCCTGGCCAGATGTGAAGTTGGGGAGGGAGGAGGAAGTGATGCTGTGCAGTAACAGCATTGCTGCTTGGAACACTCTCCCCCTTTCAACTATGCCTGGAGGTGAGTGCAAGCAGGGTTGGGGGCAAGGGCATAAGGGACTTAGGAGTTGGGTGCTTTTTACCTTTTGCCTTTTACAGCAAAAGCATCTGAGTGCACTAAAAGTGAGCAGAAGGAAGGACAGGCAGGATCCACTGATCTTGCAGTAAGAATGCAAAAGTGGAGAAGCAAGGTGGTGGAGATCCTGGGGGGGGGGGATAGAGGGTGGCGTAGGGTGTGCATTATGAGCACCACATTAATGAAGTTTAGGCTTTCTTTCTTTTTTTACTCACACATTTTTACTCCCAGGCCTTCACTGATGGTTGATCTCTGTGTATTATAACTTTAACTCTCCTCTGATTTTTCAGTTGCAAAACACAGAAAAGCAAGAAACATTGGTCATTGGCTCATATGGCCCAGTATTGTCTACGCTGACTGGGTGTAAGCTTGGAGGGCTTGTGATGTTCACCTAAAGAAAAGTGAGCATGGTTGGGCTCCTGAATTTTTCTCCAGCAAAGAAATCAAAACTAAAGAAGACTTCCTAACTCTTCCCTCACCGTGACAAACACAATTGCCTTGAACTACCTCCCTGCCTTTTCTTCAAACAACATTTTCCCGAACACAGGATCAGTGCTGATAGCACTCAAACCATGGGAAGAGGGAAGTGGGGAGATCTCTCCTTCCCCTCTCTTGAAACCACAGTAGGAAGCAAGGCTCTGGTGGAAGTCTTCGTTAAATAGCTAGTTATTTTTACACAGTAGACTTAAAAAAGAAAGAAAAAATGTTCATTTGTTATAGCAAGGCACCGCTAGACCTAACGTCTGATTTGGTTTCAGCTGGTTAAATAGAACTTGTATAACACAGTGAGAAAGTTGCTGAAATCAAATAGGCACAGATGAAATTGAAACACTTTCTTGGTATCTCCGTGATAGTGTTGCAATGGTCATTAATCATGTTTTAATTAAATGTTTCCCAGATACAAATCTGACTCATTAAGCCACCCACAGATCAGTTACCGGTAGCTTAGGACTCCAAGAGCACTGCAGAAAGTAATATAGCTAAAAGTACTTCAGCAAATTCAACAGTAAACATTTTCTCATGAAAGACAGAACATGTTTTTTTTCCTGATCTGGACCTTTTAAAATATCTGCCCATCTACATTGGTTTTAAATGGGTTAAATGTGCTAGTTTAAGTGATTGCTTATTTTTCATTTTTTTCAAATTCAGTTTGTTAATGAAAATTCCAGGTGCTCTGGGATAAAAATAAAATAAGGGATTTTTTTTTAGAGGGGGATTGCAAACTGGATTATATCCTTGGATCCCTTCCAGGCCTGCTACCTGATCTGTTTAACTGAAGATGCTGGAACCTCCTGCATGCAAAATATGTCACTTGATGGTGAATGCTAATGTTGACCCAAATTAGACCCTGACCACATGGAATAAATTCAAAACATCAAAATGTTACATTCCTCAATTTTATTTTGTTGTGCAAGAAAATGTATGTTTTAAAAGAAAATATGGTTAAAAAACTATGAATTGAAATGGGCATTTAAATGCAAATTTCAGGAGGTTTTACATTTGCAAAAACCACAGATTTGTGCAGAAAGAGGATGAGGTGGAGTTGCGAGTGAAGGTGTGCAAAAGTGGCATGGACCTGAAATAAAACCATCTGTCCATCCCCAGTTGTGCACTACAGCTGTCTCTCTAGACCAGTCTTTTCCAGCCTTTGGTTCCCAAATGTTGTTGGACTACAACTCCCATTATTCCAGATCACTGGCCCTGCTGGCTATGGAGGATAGGAGTTGTAATTCAACACAATCTGGGGACCTAAGGTTGGGAAGGGCTGCGCTAGACTCATCTTCCTCTTCTCTTTCCATTAAAGATGTTATGTACAGTGGTACCTCGGGTTAAGTACTTAATTCGTTCTGGAGGTCCGTACTTAACCTGAAACTGTTCTTAATCTGAAGCACCACTTTAGCTAATGGGGCCTCCTGCTGCTGCTGCTGCTGCGCCGCCAGAGCCCAATTTCTGTTCTTATCCTGAAGCAAAGTTCTTAACCTGAAGCACTATTTCTAGGTTAGCAGAGTGTGTAACCTGAAGCGTATGTAACCCGAGGTACCACTGTATTTTCTAAATTTCCTGACCAAACCAAATTAGAAGGTTCGTGTTGCAAATAAGCCTTGGAATTGTAATGGGGTTGAGTTCCAGCTGCAATGGTTTACTACCGTGTGCATTGCAAATAATTCTCCATGATCTCACTCATCTCTTCCAAATTCAGTAATCAAGATGCATCCTGCCCATAAACAGGTCAATACTATTGTGGAATAGCTGGCTCTGGGCTCTCTGTGGCAGCATGTGTCTGCTAACCACAGCAAGGACCGTAAGTTAGAAATGTTAAAGTGATGTGCCCATTTCCAAATGTGGGTGAATCAGCATAGCTCAATTAATGATTTGATTACAGGTGTATTAAAAACCAGAAGTCTCACTTTGCCAGCTGCCTTGGATTGGCACTGCTGTCGTCTTATACGTAATCTTTTTTTTATCTGCTTTCCCTGGAGGGAAATGCTGTTTTCAGGCAGATGGAAAAGAATAAAACCTAAAGAGAAGAAGCAATTTAAAATAAACTCTAAAAATTCCTGAGGAAAGTCACTCCCTCTTTGAAGTCCGGATAAAGAACATAATATACTATTAATCCAAGAGCAGGAAGGCTTAGAGGACAGGGACAGACTAAATGCGAAGATAAAGTTGTTCATCTCCTAAAGAACTGTTACATAAATTACACGAGAAGGACATCAGTTTTATTTCTCTTTGACTTTTATTCTATGGCACATCATGTGATTTGTTATGAGCCAGAAACTACTGCTGTATTTTATTATTATTACACCATCAACATCCTAAACAAAAATAAAACAAATTGACAGCACAAGTGGCAATTTGTGGTTGTTGGGCCCAGTGTCAGCACCCAGCACCTCAGTGTCTTGGCAGACTCACCCCTGCACTGACCTAAGCCAGGCATCGGTATCTGAGACCCTTCCCTGTAATTTCTCACGGTTCCCCAACCACAGGCTGCATTGGGAGCATTGTGTGAAATTAACATGGCAGCTGCGAGTTGTTTGGCATTGACTATCGTGTGGCTACTCTCTGCTGCTGCCACCAGCCTGACATTATAGGGGGTATCTCAGCAGAGGATGCACTCTGCTGAGGGCTCCACACAAACCTGCTTGTTGTGGTTGTACAACCATCAACCCCTACCCTCATGCCCTGTTTTTCCGATACGCTGGAACATGTTGTTACAAAGTCCCATCTGACTTCAGCAATGCCAGGCATTTTGTGTTGCTGGTCCCAATCTGTCGAACACTCCTCCAGCAGAGATTCAGCAAGCATCCTCACTGTTTACTTTTAAGCATCTCTTGGAGAACTTTTTATGCTGACAGGCCTGTTTTTTTGATTACTCAGTCATTTTGCCAATTGGTTTATATATTCGTTTATGTTTTATTGCACTTGTACATATTGTTGTATGCTGCCTTGATATTTTATACAGGTTGGCAGCATATTAAATAATGTTAACATATAAATAAATGATTAGACCATTGCTCAAATTAAGAGGGGAGAGGCAAGGGGCCCTAAATGAAACCCACACATCCCCTCCTGTTTTTAGCCAAATTGTGACAAACAATTGCTAAGAGAGTCATCACAAAAGGGAAGAGGGCTGCCTTCCCTCTGCTCCTTTGATAATTCAAGCTTTGTAGTAGTAACATTTTTTCATGACGTGGAGTTAAAACCTTATTACATGTGGATGAGTGCAGATCAAATAGCTATTAAAGACACACACAAAGACCAGTCCAAAAGCTGGCAGTCCTACTTGTACACATCTTCTGCAGAGAGTGGGGTCTGGTCATAAAATGGCTGCACACATACACAAACCTTTTTTTTTTTTTACTAGTCCTTCCAATGCAACTCGATGGGTATTTTATTTATACGTGTTTATCTGAATTAACATATGCAAAAGACTTCAAGTGACAAGAAAGGAGATTCTGAGTAGACATTAGGAAGAACCTTTTGACAGTAAGAAAAGACAGTGGAACGGACTCCCTCTGGAGATTGTGGACTCTCCTTCCTTGGAGGTTTTTAAACAGAGGTTGGATGGCCGCCTGTCATGGATGCTTTAGTTGAGATTCCTGCATTACAGGGGGTTGGACTAAATGACTCTTGGGGTCCTTTCCAACTCTATAATTCTGTGATTCTATGAACTGAGGAGCAGCCAGCGATATCTCCCTCTCCCACACCAGAAGTGGTAATGCCTTTTAAAATCATCACTGTTGTTTTTGTTTAAGTAAAAGCACTGAAATTAAACTAGACATAATCAGGAAGCAAATCTGATACCTGAATATATTACTATGGCAAAGGAGTACGATTTCATGAATGTCTAGAGAGAGTTAGCAATACACTGGTGCTTCTTAAACAAATGGTTTTTAAGTGAACAGCAAATCAATGCTCCAAACAGTGTAAGCTATTTGAAAGTAGGCTGACATGACAGAATGCTTCATTGCTAAAGAATTACTATATTAACAGTCAGTCGTCTAATAAAATACCTGTGTGACATGAGCTAAGGACACTTGACAGGGTTTGGCAGAAACGGCACCATCGATGTCTGTTTATGAAAAGAAATGGCATTGCAAAGAAAATTGATTCCTGGTAGTATTCCGTCAATATTTATGGTCTCTAATCAGCAGACAAAAATCATTGATGGTTTTATTGCCTCAGCAAGTAACTACAGCTTTTATACGTACCAAAGCTTTTCTTAACACTTCCAATTCTGGATTTCATAGCAACGCAGAATCACAAATGAGATAATGGCAGAACAGGCCCTTTCTTGAGTGTAGGAAATGTGCTGTAATGGTTCTTCAGAAACATGTAATTGCAAAGCCTTGCAGGATCAATGTAGGTGCAGATGAGTCTGAATTTATTAGCAAGACAAAGAAAGCCAGGCACCGCTACAGAATAATACTCTCCTTTATCTTTTTTTTTAAACAGCCTGCAAGCATTGTCATCTGTTTGATCCTGTCCTCATCGATATGCAATGATAAGAGTTTTAAAAGGCAGATGCTATTTAATGCGAAAACTGAAATCAGATGAACAGATTACCTGATTTGGAAAATAATTTAGGAGTGTGCCCAGCAGGGCAGCATTATTGCACTAGAAACAGATGTAGCTCAGTGTCAGGGTGTCTGTGTCACATGATGAAGGTCCCAACTTCAATCCACAGCATCTCCAGGTGGGGCTGGGAGGGATTTCCTGTCTCAAACCCTGGAAAGTCAGTGTACCAGGTGCTTCCATTCTGAGCCAAGTAGGAGTGTATGCCTGGACTCTCTTCAATCAACTTTTCCTCACACAGTCTAGCAGTGGTGGGAAAGGACCGTGGTTGTAGAGCATCTATTTTACATGCAAAAGATCTCAGGTTCAATTCCTAGCATCTCTGGGTTGGGCTGGAAATGTCCCCAGTCTGAAACCCTGGAGAACTGCTGCCAGTCAGTGTAGATGGACCAATGGCCTTGCTCAGTATCACCTGTGCTAGATGGACCAATGGCCTTACTCAGTATCACCTGTGCTAGATGGACCAATGGCCTTACTCAGTATAAGGCAGCTTCCTATATTCCAAGAAAAGCCCTTCATATTGGCAAGTGGGGTGCAGCCCTGCCAAGTTTCTGAACCTCCAAAACCTCCAAAGCCATGGTCCAGTCTTTGTCCTGTCACCCACAATCGTA